ATGAAAAGAACCCCTGTTGGTTGCATCTTTTCGTAGCTAACAATGAGTAATGAGGAGATAGAAGATAATACACGTTAAACCACACAGCAGATTTGAGGTAAGTCATCTAAGTGTCTGAGAAACTATTAATCCATGTAGTAGTAGAAGTTAAATTCTAGTTCATGTACGTCACATGTATCACTGATGATATCCTATAGACATTATGCCACTAACCTTGATGCGCTCTAAATGAATAAAATAAGTTAGAAATTTTCATTCCAAATATGGTATAAATACGACTGTAAAAACAACATTTCCCAAATTACCTTTTTATTAATATTTGATCACATACTGTATGGTATCAATAATTACTCATCTGGCAATTAGGTCATGAAGCATCGCTATGCTATGCTGCATTTCGATTCTGCGTTGTCTTCAAAAGCCTACAAGTGCTTCAAATTTTTTCAAATAATTTATCCTGTCAATTGCCTTACTTAATTACTCACTTTCTTCTAGGCGTTTCAAAAATCGAAATCCAACCAAAGAATGCACTCACAAAGGCTCCAGTAGTAGAGCAAGGTGTTCAGTGATCCCAAGACCTCATCTGCTCAATGTTTATAGCTATTAGCTTCATCACTGACAAAATGATAAGTGAGAAATGAGTGTTGTAAATAAATCTCTTTTTCACCATTCTCTCCAGGGTTTTTTTGAAATGGAAAGTTTTTACTGCTTTCTTAGAAGACATTAATGATGAAGCTAATACTGTATACCTTTCATCAAAATCAATTCAGCAAAAAGTTCCTTTCTATCTTTTACAGAGGCATATTCCAAATTTCTCGTATTTTACCGAGTCTTGTTCAGTCATCGTAAACTGAGCGAAAGACCAAGTCCCGTCACTATTATCTTTCGTAGCAATTCCGCAGTCCACTTAAGTCAAGTATACAAGATAGATCATTCCTTTAGCTGCATCGGACCAACAGATAGGATTTCATGGTTTCTGACAAATAATTGTAAACAATTTTCGGAAAAGAACGTTTCATTTATCAAATATTGAGCGATTTTAGGAAACTAAGTTGGAGTTGTCCCTCGCGATGGTCTACCCCTCATCGTTGCGTGGGGTGACTTCGGTGTCGAACTGCGAGGTACAGCAGAGGTTTATCCTCCAGCAGGATCTCCCAAGCTGAGATGGAGTTCGACG